TGGAACGCCTTCGAAAGGATCCTTTGTTGGATCTTTGGGCTTACCGGATGAGGATGATGAGGAACCTCCTTTGCCCTCTTCATCTTCACCGGGATCATAAATCCCACTTTCAAATGCATCCTTCTTTGAATGATCAACCATTCCATCAGTCGAAGGGATCTTGAGTGCTTTGCCACTTTCCATCGGACCTTTGTCAATCAACTCCTCCACCGGTTTAGCATCCTCGTCTTCAGGCTTTGGAGGATCGTCCGATATCATGTAGCATGGAATGCGACCCTCACGGATAGCATTATACCTGTCCTTCAATGGAAACACAAAATCTCCGTCAGGCAAGGCGAGTTTGTTCGTTCCAACCCATGGCACACTACTATCAAAGTTGTTGTCCATCACCTCTTTAAGAGGGAGAACAAGGAACTCTTTCCTCCATGAGAATTCAGGGTGAATCTTGTATCCCAAAAATACTCCTGGTAGTGAGGTAGGATCGAATTTCAATTTTTCTTTGGATTTGGTTTTTGGTCCGGTCCAATAGTCAATCCTCACTCCAAAAGGAATCATTGGTCCCTTGAACTTCTCATCGAACCTGAGTTGCCATGGCGTTTGAGATTCCTGATCACCGAGTATGTTGTGCGCCATGCAACAATGTCTGGCGGCATGCGTCCAGTATGTATGGTGCAAACCCGCTTGTTCAAGATTGATACGAGTTCCATCAAGAACGGATCGAATACTCCTCTCTGCTTGAGCATTACTCTTGGAGATATACGGAACACTTGTAACGTCTCCCCATTTCAATTCTGATGCTGCCTTGACAAGCTCTTCTGCATTGTCTGAATAGAACACACCAATGTCATCCCGTCCCCGGGTGAAGTGCTTCAATGCAAGAACACAATCTCTAGTCGTTTTCCTAGCCGACAGATATACATATCTAAAGTCCGTAGCTATGTCCTTAACGACTAGAGCGTTTCTTGAACCATCGATAGCCTCTTCTTCGTCGTCCCGAAGAATGAGATGGTCAGCAGTGATGTGATCACCAAACTTGTCAGCATCAACAGTTTCGGATCCTCCCTTCTTGTACGATGGTGGCTTAGTCATCTTAGCCCTTGAACATGTTGTACAAAAGGGGTTCTTGGGAACATGTGTCAACAAATGCGCAAGCGACTTTGCTTCCCGCCTCAAGGCTTGTTCACCACGATCACGCTTTTCCGCTGGTGAATCGGGGACTAACCTGGCATCGACTGCTTCGGGTTCTGCTTCTGCAGACTCATGGGGTGCTTCCTCTACGCTAGGTGAAGTAGGGATCGGAATGTACGAAGACTTGCCGTTCCCGGAAGCATGTTCTTCATATTTGTGCCCGATAGCAGTCATAGCCATACCACTGGTTGATGGTAAATAAGGAACATAGTCCTTCACTTGAAGCTTGATCCTCTGCCCATTTGGCTTTTTGAAGTATGGTGTGTCATTTGACGGCCAGATGAACGACCAATCATGATCAATACATAATTGTCCCACGGATATCACTGCCGGACTATCATCAAGTACATATGGTTTTGCAGTGATTCCCAACAAGGGAATATCAAGATTAGCCTGATCATTAGCCTGGAACACTCCGTTAGCTGTAAGAAGACTAACCGGTTTCGAGGATTCGAACACTTCGTTGCGATTGACCATTTCCCTAGACACCAAATCATTCGCACTGCCAGTATCCGCAATCCATGCGATCTCGGTCGCAGGCATTGTGACCCGTTGATTCTTAAAACAATGCTTGCATCCCATTTCCGAATCGCAAAGATAGCAACATCGTGCCTCGATGCCATTCAACTCGTTTGAAACAGCTCTGCTCAAACGGTCTGCTGCAATGCATGCATCTTCAGATGCCATTTCCAAAACTTCAGCGTTTCCTTTGTGGCCTATTGGGAAACTGACATGCTTTCTTTGTCTTCGCGCAACAACTGGAAACATTAAAGAATTGCAATGAACCACGTGTTTAAAAACTTCTGGTTTGTCAGCAAAAGAAAGACGTTTCACTTTTCCCCGTCCTGACGAAGATGATGGGGAAGAACTGGTGGCAGGTGTAGCAACCATGGCCACGCTTTCCAACGGGCATCTGATAGTAGCAGACTGTGATGATGAGACCGCAGTAGCTAAGACCAGAGTGCGCAGCAGGCAAACAGCGGCTGGGTTAGAAGGAGTACCTTTCCCACCTTTGGATTTCTGACTACCGCCAGAACCGTTGGAGCCACGAGAAGTGCTTCGTTTCTTCTTCTCTCTTTTCTCCTTCTTCTTCTTCTTCTTTCGTTTCTTCCGGTCGTCACTTGGTGCAGGTGTAGAAGAACGATCGGGATGTTTGAAAGCACAATTCTTTCCCCGGTGACAGTCACCAGATTTCCAAAACTTGCAAACTTCCGATCTTGATCCCGGAGTCAACGACCTTCCACGTGAAGAAGAAGATCTACCCTTTCCACCACCTTTGGGCCTCCCTTTGCTGGATTCACGGGGTTTCTCATGTTTGAATGGGCAGTCGCGCCTACCGCACTTTCCTTTGTTCTGAAACTCATAGCAAACACCTTTCGGCTTTTTGTCACTTGGGTCAATGACAGGAGCTGCAGGGTCTTTACCTCCAAGACTACGCTTCGTGGCATCCCTCATCTTTTCTAGACGTTTCCTTTCAAGGTATGCCTTGGCTGACTTGATCAAAAAGTCATAAGTCTTTTCGGCACTCCCTTCCGAGGCGCGTTCGTAGATGGCAAGATCATGAGCTAAAGGCTTAAAGTTCTTCACAGCAAGATGAAAATATGCCTCAAGCCATTTCTTGTCAACTTCCGTTCGCATCCCCGCGATAACAGACTCCCATCGCGTAACAAAACCTTTCAGGTCCTCGTTCACCATCTTAACACATATAAGATCTTCAACATCGTAAATAGCACCGTGTTTGATGGATGTAGCAAAGTACTCATGGAACAACAGTAGGATTTGTCGTCCCTTTATTGGTTCTTTTGCTTTCTCTTTGGTCTCCTTAAACGTGTTCAGTTGGCGAGCAAGGTCCCCCTCCGCACAGTTCGTGAGACTTGAGAGAAGTTTTGCATCCAGCGTGATGAAACCCTCAGAGTCATCCAGGTCCTTAGTGGTCACGGCGTCTTCATAAACCTTACCTAGCCATAACCTGGCCTTGTCCGGCTTAGCGGACGCCGCTGACACATTGTCCCGAACTTTAATTCGCCAATCTCTATACCTTTCAGGCGTAGGAAACTTGGGAATGAGGATCTTTTCGGCCTCTTTGGCCCTTTGTTCACGATCCTCTTTCTTCATCTTCTTCAAATGCTTCCTAACCTTACGGGCAAAGGATGAATCCTCAGAAGACGAGCTCGACGATGAAGGTGACTCGGACGGTGACGGTGACCCCTTTTTGTTTTTCTTTTTGTTCCTTTTGCGGAGTGATCTGCCACGCTTCTCTTCCTTGTCATCTTTCTTCTTCTTCTTTTTGTCTTTCTTGCTCTTCTTCTTGTCATCGGATGAAGACGAACTTGATGAACTGGGATGATCAGGAGGACCACCTCCAGCTACTTTCGGAGCATTAACCGCTCCACTTGCAAGAGCTTCACGGTAGGGTTCGCCGGAACTATCAGTCATTGATTTCTGCATTGGTCGATATGGTTGACCAAGAGGTAGCTCGTTTGAACCCATCGGACCTGGAAGAATTGTCCTGAGGTTAGCCGGTGTTCCAGCAGGCTCATAGTTCCCTCGAGCGGATGTTTCCATTTTCTCTCGAAGTTCTCTAATGAGCTCTGTTTGTGTTCTCAACTCTTCCCTCAGCTGTGATTCACGACTCTGCGCTTGTTGTTGTAATTCTGTCAAGTTGTGGTTGTATAGTTGAGCTTCAGTCAACGCAGCATTCTTGATGACTGCTTCATGTGCATTCATCTTAGCTTGCTCGTTTGCAGCCCAAGATGCAGCTCTTCGTTCTTGTAACTCGAGTTGCTCCTTGACATGGTCGTGTGCCTCTCGGTGAATGGCTTCCACTGTCTTTTTCACTTCTTCATCTTTCTTAGACATCAGTTCCCTGTGTCGCGCTTCTGCAAGTTGTGCGACTTCAGCGGACTTGTCCAGGTTGACGTTGATCATTCTTTGATCGTGGAAGTTCGCCGTTTGGTTAATGACTTGTCTCGAATCATTGTACGTACTCGACGGAACAAAGGCAGGGCTCGTGGGAGACAGGATAATCGCACCAGTCGACGTAGCTGGTGGCAACACGTTCCCATGTGCTTCAACCAATGCATCCTCATCATGCTCTGAGGTGAAGACTTCCGTCTGTACATATGACCCATTCTCATCGGCATCACCGACTCTTGACCTCGATCGATCCGTGCCATCTCGAATTGGTTCGAAGGGCCTGTCCGCCATGCCACCTCACGTGTGCGCAGAACGAGGGTGGGTAGGTGACACAGCTAGAATGGCGCGTACCGCTCTTTGGCGATACGGCTGATAACCTGAATTTACAGGCCAACAGCCTACAAGTACCAACATGTAGAGCGCCCTTTTCTTGAGCCAAACATAGAGGTCAATATGGTATGTACAGGTGTACAATCGTGCAAATACATAAGTCTTAGATCCGTGCAATTGGGATTGAATGGCACGATGCCTTCTTTTGATTGCCCAAAGAACACCAAAAGAGAATGTGGCTTATTTTGACTAGATTTTCAATTAGTGAGGTGCCTAGGACTTTTCCAGGATACCCCACGTGGATTCATAGCCTCATGATGAACTATCATGTTGAAAACCACGGCACATGGATTCTCATCAATGCACCACTCAATGCTCTTAAACAGCCATCACTCACTCACCACCCACCGTGCACAGGACGACTGTCCACCACCATTGCACGCAAAACTGAGAAAAGGAACATCTGAAGAGGTGTGAAAAACTCAAACAGTTTTGAAACGTTGAGCAACTCAAACACTTCAGAGACTTGATCAACTCCCTGCACCACGGTCCCAACTCCCCATCGCCTCCATCAGCCTCTCCAGTAGTTCTTTCACCCGCGGGCGTGCCGCCCGGGCTCCGAAGAGCGCCAGTGCCGTCGCGCGCCCTGCGCGGCCCACGCGGCGTAGCGCGCGCCGCGCGTCGTCGGCGCTGGCGTTCGACGGTGTGAGGAGGCGTCGGAGACGATCCTCGAAGGTGCTCTGCCGGAAGTCCTGGAACGGCCGGGGGGAGGATCTGGCAGAACAACTAATGGAACACCAGTTTGAACACCCTATAGGGCTACAAGTACGGTCTAAGAAGGTGTTTGTCTTTGTTTTTTGTGAGCTTCCCATGGATCTTTTGGAGGGTCCAAATAGCTTCTGAGCACTTGGAGCCCTACGGACAGGAAGATTGACCGAAAAAACATCGAACTGCCCTGAGATCCTGAGAAAAGAGTTCCTGAAACCATTCTTGAACCGCTCTTAAACGCACACATTCTGTCATTACTTGGTCGGAGAAACATGACACTGCGTGCTCAGCGACCTCTGCTCCCCTCCTCCCCCGCCTTCAGTGCAAAGCCATCGATGCCATCTGCCACCATCTGTTCCGGCGATCCACCGGCCGGCGTGGTGAGAACGGGCACGGCCAGGATCTTGGCCTCCAGAAGGTTCAAGGGATTCACCTCTTGGAAGGACAAGCTCACCTGCGAGTCGACGGCGCGGATGCTCAAGGGCGTCCGGGTGGGTGAGATAGCTCATGATGCTCATGGAGTTTGGGGGATGAGAAGACAACTCTCCGTTGATCTTGCGTGGCTGTTTTGCAACCAGGTACTTTTTTTGGGTATGTTGTTGATGTCGTTTTGGGGATTCACTTGTTTTGCTATTGGGTGTGTTGGTTGGGTGTAGTGCGCCTGCAAGTCGGCCGCCGCGGTGTACTTGAGATTCGCGGGGCCGAATTGGATGAGGCGCACCTTACGGCCTATCTCTGTGCTCTCGAACTTCTTCAAATACTTGCCTGAGTCAGGAGCCAAATTCAGGTATCCACAGGAGTTGAGAGTGAAGCATGGCAAAGCATAGTAGCAAAGTTCGATCTCTCTTTGAAGTCTTTAAAAATCTTCCAATGATCCTAACCAAAGGCCATCAATTGCAAATGAAGGGCCCCTGAATCGAAGATATATATTATAATATACCTTGTGCCTCCAAACACGACAAAAACGTAGGGTTCATCCCAAAACACGAGGTTCTTGGAGGAAACACGAGGTTTCCCATTTTGGTGTTTTTTCCGCCCATGCCATCTTCGAAGGCCGGGCCACAGGAACTTGAATTCAAACTCAAAAAGCCCAGGTTGATGATCAGAACGAAAAAAATATCAACCAAAAATGCAACTATTGTACCCCACTAAAACCCGTGAAAAAAACACGGGTTGTCACGGTATAATCACGGGTTTGTCACGGGTTCGTCACGGGTTTGGGAAACATAGTGTTTTTCTGAAAACCCGAGGTTTTTCATCCAAAATCACGGGTTGACATGGGATAATCACGGGTTTGGCACGGGTTTGTCACGGGTTATCGGAGCTCTCAATCACGGACCCGAACTTTTCCTGACAAGAGTGTTGAATGTTTTTTATTTTTTAACATATTGTGAAACATGTTTAGACCACGGAAAATTTGATAAGTCGGCGGGAGAAAATGAATATGGAGCACCTGCACATGGCTATCGAGGGTTTTGTTGCAAAACACGAGGATTTTGTTAAAAACCCGAGGTTTTCCCTTATGTCACGGCTAAACCCGAGGTTTGTTTTCAAACCCGACAAATTTGTAGGGTTCAGATGCTCAGGGTATATATATATATATGTCTATAGGTTCATTTAGACATGTACATGATCACGGTTAAAAAAAAAACCATACAGTATCTTACTCAGTAGGGGATATGGTAGGGATCTCCTTTTCTATATATAGGCCGGGTCATGGAGCAATCCGTGGAGCATCATCGAGCTTCCCAACGGAGTTGGATTTTTTTGGGGTCACCGTGTTTCCACCGTCACGAATGGGATGAACAACACCAGTACATACCAGGACCCTACGACTGACTACATACCTACAGCATAAAAGGTAACTGCACATGCGCAATCCTATGCTTCATGTTACTTGCGCTATAGTGATAGCTCCTTGGATCCTTGCTAGCTTCTCATTACAGGTATGAGCATGACGATCTCTTCTTGTGTGCCCAGTATATAGGAATCTTCGGGGTGGTGTATATAGAGGAGTTATAGACGGTATAGATGTAGAAAATGCACACCCCTCAACGGATCGGAGAAGCCGAATGAATGAAGAACATTGAAGAACACCTAACGTCTCAACGTCCAAATCCCAACAATCCGCGCCCTGTCTAGAATGAACCAACGAAGCACCTTGACCACATACAACATCTGTAAGTCTGCTGGCTACCTATAGATCCCTATGGATGCCCTAAAGCTCATCCCACGTACGCAGGCGTACGAACCTCCTCTGCCGGGTCCGATCCCTGGCGGCGGCGACAATTCGGCCGGGTGGCGCTTGGAAGGTGAGGAGTCATCGGCGCCCACCAGCAGGATCAGCCACTTCCGAAAGCTGGCGCTCAGGATCTTCAGGACGCCTCAGGGCGCGAAAGCACGCGAGCCACAGCTCGATGGAGCGAGCTCGTCTGAGATTTCTGGGGCGGGAGGGGATCCCACCCGAAGCGGCTAACAGGATTGAGACGAAAGATGAAGCTGCAGGAGGTGAGGAGGTGCAAATCCACACGGGTAGCAAGATTGAGACGAAAGATGAAGTGCCCAGGAGGTGAACTTGTGGTTCATTGGACATTTGCTAGATGGCCATTGGCCATGAAGGATACCTGGTCGGTGTGGAGTTGTGAAGCACCCCTCTACTGCGGCGTCCGAACACAGGCTCAGTCTTTGGTGGCTGCTGGCGAGCCAAATCCACAAGTAGGAAGCTACAAGACCATTCTAGTTTCAAGATGTTTCAAGTCATCAATCAAGGTCAAAGGAGATCCTCCGTGAAAGGATTGACCCAAGACTCCCAAAAAACACCAGCCCCTAGCTGCAGAACCGAAAGGGCACATCGATAAGGACTCGTCTTGCAGTCTTGCATGAACTACTCCCATTGGTTTACAAACCCTTCTTGTTTTGAGGGGTGTGAAGACTGAAGACTACCTGGCTTACCTATAACCTACATAAACCTCAGGCAATCAGCATCAGCCTAGACATATTGAAAACATCAGGAGGCGTCCTTTATCATCCTCTATCTAGGGTCCCACATGGGTGGTTTTCTGATTTCTTTCACCCAAATGCGGGTCTTCTTGGCACCCTTCCACCTCAGCCGTGACCCATCCTCCCTAACTGATCGGCACATCACTTCGCACATCGAAGCGATGTGAAGTGGAGCCACCTGGCTGCACCAAGGCAATCTGATTCTTCCGCTGGCAAATAGTACCTCAGATCAAACACATCCGACGTAGGAGTAGGAGTAGCAGCAAGGCTAGAACTAGAAGAACTAGCAGCAGGAAGTAGGAGTAGGAGTAGAGTACAGTAGGAGTAGGTCGTCGTCGTCATATTGGTGCCGATAGTAGTAGCAGCAGGAGGGTTGCTGTTCTCCTAGTAGTGTGCACTCTCTTTCATCTCCTTACAAACCGATATCCTGAATTTCTGCTTGCTTCTAGGCGCCCACCGCCACCAACACGAAGGTCTCCTCCGCCACACCCAGCTCCGCGCGGACCGATGCCCGCAGTGGACTGATACGCCGCTCGGTCAAAGACCACACGTCCGCGTACGCGCCCGCGGCTTCCGCGCCGGCGCGCTGGTGGATGCGGGCGAGGTCCAAGAAGTTGAAGAAGGTGTGAAAAGTATGTCCTCAGATGTGACCGGCCAAGACTAGGGGGGCCTTGACTGGAAGTTTGAAGGGTATCTTTTTGGGGTTTGCTATGATTGTTCTGTTTTTAATCCTTTGGGGGGGAGGTTCAGTGTACATGTAAATCGCTGTGCAAGGTGGGTTTGCACAAGATAAGAGGAATGGGGAGCTGAACTTGCAGAAAATTGTTCAGATTATTCTTTCTCCCAGGTGTTTCAGGGCAGGTGTGAAGAAAATGTGAAGAACATTGAGGAGCTGAACTTGCAGAAAATTGGTCAACAACTTTGTTTTTGTCCAGGTGTTTCATCCAGAAATTATAGAAGGTCAAAGATGGTAAACACCAGACCCTTCCGGAGTGGATGGGATGGTGAACGACCTGTGCCGACCTGTCCTTCACCTGACCGGGTGGGGTGAAGGAGTGGTCGAAGATGACGAGAGGAACATCGGACGATCATGCAGAAAGACCTCATTCAAAACACGAGAAGGTGAGATGGAAGGATAGATACCAAAGAAAAGCCATGAACAACTAAGATGCCATTCACTTCGATGATCTGCGAAGATCTGATGAAGCTGGCAATGCTAAGCCACTTTTGCAATCGCCAAAATGATCCATGAACAGGAGGCCTAAACGTTCCATCTATCTGCACTCTGCCAAGTATAGTTCCTTTCCATTACCTCCATTACCATGTTCCACAAATTAGTATATATATCACAAAGCATTCACGACAATACTACATTACTTTCCACTTAGAAAACTATAGTCATTATACAATTACTTTCCAGAAAGGATGGATGTGTTCCTTTCCATTTTCCAGTTACGATACCTAGTACTATCACATCTGGATCTTAACATCGCTTCCAGGAGAACCTCGCCAAACCCCCACATGTCACCCTTTAAACAGCACCGGGAGGCCCATCTCCGACTCCGCCCACAAGTCCCTGGTGGCTTGCGCGGGAAAAACCACTGCATCGGCTCCGGCGATGATCCGCTGCCGGCTCTGGGTCTGCCCGAGTTCCGGAAAGCGCTTGCCCCACCAAAACTCTCCTCCAGGACCAGAGAAGCAAAGGACAAGAAGAAACACAGCTAGTTCTACATCTACGCTTACAAAATCTTACAAAAATTGAATATGAAAACAACATGCCGTTTCATCAAGGACCCAAACGAAATCTCCGTTGGCTTTTGGGGAGTCTTCATCTTCTCCAACTCCCTTAGACTGTATTGTATAGATTCGATGCCTAAACCCGCCAGCTATGCCAGCGATAAATGGCAGGTGTTCAGAATCCGGTGTGACCACGAAACCTCCTCCAACAGCCCCCCCAAAATAAACGATGGGGTTCCGTTCGTAAGGCACATCTCCACGGAAATATACGGCGCCACGTATTCCAACCAAGTGAACGAAGGTGGCCCTGTTGCGAGAATGACTGCAACTCCATTAGGGGATGCCCCAGTCATATGGTCTTTATCCGCGAAATGCACACCTGCATAGACCTCCAGTCCAGTCCTGGCTGCAAGCCCGGGGACTTGAGACTGATCTCCTGCTCGTGGATGAACCAAACCACCCGTGGCCGGCTGGGGCGCAGCAAAGGCAAGCGTCCCAAGGCTCTGGCCCAAACGATGGTGTTGCAAATCACCAGCTCAGGTGGTCGACTCCAAAAGAAGGACCCAAGAAAATCCAGTAGGGTCCTGACCAGCTCACAAGGCTGACAGGGATGCTCCCCTGCAAATGAATTAACATGGAATCTAAAAAGCACGGCCTAAACCACCGGTCAATTCTCAGGTTCCATATGGTTCCATGTTGGTTTGTGGGAGGGTATGTAGCATGGGTATATGGATATCTCCCTAACTTCCTCCCAATCACCAGCTAAACAACTCTGCCCCTCGCTGTTTTTTGCAAGGTTCGTGGTGATGTTCTCGGAGTGGCGGTAGATGTCTATGTCCTTCACGATTGATACAGCCATCTGTTCCTTCTCGAACTCAGGCCTTGCCACAGGGCGAACTGGTGCAGCTTGGTGATTGAGTGGTTCACTCACACTTAGCTTGGATGCGCCGTAGGCTCTGGCTGAGCTGCGCCATAGAAAAGCACCAAACACTCCAAACTGATCTTATGACCTGACTATACCTCACTTAATGTAGACTTGTTGATAGAAAACCCACTTCAACCCCAAACCAAAACATGGATTTCAGAAGCTAATCATTACTGGCTTTGAAATAGAGTCAGTCCGGATTCCCGGATTGGTCTGGCATCGGTCGGACTTCGAGTGCCTCAAAGGCCCATCATCGCCACTGAGGAGGTGCACTTGGAGACCTTCATCCCTGAAGATCTTCCCCAGCTCCAGCAGGACCATGGGAGCTCCATCCAAGCGCAAGGAGTGGCTCAGCATCACGATCCTCGATGTTCCGAAGCAGGGGAGAACCAAAACGGGCGGAACCATATGAACAAACACAAAAACAACACACACACACATTTCACAAAACAGAAAAACAACTAAGCAGGGCCCCCTTATCTTTTTCAAGTTCCAAATGAACTCGGGCATGCAGTGTTTGTGACTCAACTGGGGCGGCAAGGGGGCACACCACCCGGAGATTCTTTTTGGAGGCCATCTGTATGCAAAAGAAGTGTTTAAAGTAAACAAAACATTAAAAAACAATACCCAAACCATTCCGCTCCCCACTAAACACAATTAAGATCTACCTAGAATCAATTTGGGATCGGCCATCATGGCAGCTGTTTCCTGAGAAAGCTTTTTCGAGAAGGTCGTCAGCATCTGATCCGCGCGCTCCATGTGTCGGGTAGTCTTGAAGAAGACGAACTCCACGGGATGTGCTGTGCGGTTGAAGTAGCGCTGGGCTGAGAAGAACACATCGTTCGGCAGCGTTGGGCAACCCTTCTTGCCGCGCAAAGGCTTCCTGCTTTCAGGTCGGATAGTGGAGTCCGACAGGGAGTCGATCTGGGGATTCGAAGAAGAGAAATGGGGTGGGAGGGAACCAACAACAACGAATTCTGGTTCAAACACGAACTAAATAACTATGTTATATAAATACATACTTAATAATGCTTGCTTCTTCCTGACGTGTGTGGTCACTGGTGACCATGATCCTCAATGGTGGTTCTAAATTCATGCTAACAAAGTAACCCAGGTAAACCTTGACGTCGTGCAAAAAACGTCATTCACGCAAAACTGCCCAACATACACTGTCATCCCAATTCTCTGGGGCGACGGTGCAGTATGGCCTCCAACTACTGGGACAAACTTTTTGTGTCTTCCTGTGTCCAACTAAGGCAACCAAAATTGGTCCAAATGGAACGTTGGGCATGTCACGAGCACTTGGGAGATCTGGCGCTGGCACCGCACGCGTCCACGTGCCACGTGCAGTCGCAAGTAGCAACTGCTCGTGGCTAACCATCCCAGTCCATAGGCCCCACACGAACCATCGAACCAAGCGAGTGGCGGGCTGTTTAAAGCCTTCCTTGGATTTGCTGTCCGGGTGGGTAAAAATAGACATACTCTCTCCAGGTTTGGGGATTTAACCACAGGGATCATATTTTAGAAATAAATACCTTAAGCAAAACCAGGCTTCTTGGGCAAGCGGAACCACTCTTCCCCAGAGTGGCTTGCTTGGAAGGCTTCGGCGCTGTAGCCCCTCGCGCGTAGCACGCGCAGAAAGTCGCCCTCTCGGTACATCGCTTCCTCCGGAGGCTGGTGGAGAAAATGTCCATAAGAGTGGATTTAGATGATGTATGATGATGTGGAAATGCAACACATAGCACATAAATAGCTGCCCCAAAATAGCTACATAGCGTACATAGCTACATAGTAGACCTTTTCAAGGCCACCAGTGCCTTGAAGAACAAAAACCAAACTAGAAAATTCATGAAACACCCATATTCCATGCTTGTGATTGGCATGCTTGTGATTGGGCTTGTTCCCCGCTTCGCGCCAGGGGACGGTCTTGTTCTCTGCACACTTGAAAATGCCGTTGGCTTGGGCGATGTCCAAGGCCACTTGGTCGAAGGCCATAATCATGCCTTCGAAGGGATCCACGGATCCGCTCATCCAATGGATCCAATCTACGAGGTTCTTTCTCATCCCTTCCAGGGATGGATGGTCGAGACCATCCCCCAGCAACGGGGGGAGGGCGAAGCTTCGAAGCTAATGATCTGTCTTAACTTACCCTAGGGCTCCTGGCCTACCTCCGTTTCGAAGATGGTTGAGGTGGGTGCCTCGGGGGTCCAAGCACCTTCTGAGGATATGGGACAGGAGCCCTAGGGGTAATCATGGATGGATCTTGGATTGCCATTCTGTAGTCCAGTGTCACAACCGGTGGAAAATCCAATGCCCCAGCTCACATGAATGGTACAGTCTCAACCCGTTTCAAACAACTCCTTTCAGATCCTTTAAGAACTTCCCTGTGACTTCCAACCAGCCACAGGACAAATGTATACAAACATAGGACATAACAACTTTACCAAAAAAAGCAGGGCCAAATACAAGATTAAAAAATATATATATATATATATCTGATCAAGCCCAGGATGCTCATCACATGGACCAAAGACCGCCCTTTGCCGTCGGGACAGTTCATACCTTGGATCTTCAGCTCTCTTCCACTTCCACCCCATGATGTACAAGGCGTGGCTTTTTTCATGGCCCAAGCAAGGTTCTACTTGCCAAAGATCGGGAGTTGCCAAGCAAAGGCTCCTCTTGCCATGTGGCCTCCATCCCAGGTTTAAAAAAAGCCTATGGCATCCGCCGAGACCTTGGGGGTGATTCGATGTGACCTCTCCATCCCAGCAGATCCCGGAGGTGCGGACCGTGCAGGTCGGCACGGTCCAAGGAGCAAGTACAGCGAGGAGGTCATGGAGCGGTCACATGAGAGGTTCACGCCATTTTCTGCTTGAGGATGGACACTGAGCTTTCTGCTGGGTGTAGCTTTGTAGCTTGCGGCCGCTAAATTATGTGTCCACCTGCTTCTGCCATAAAACACTGATGCCTCCAATCCTATACAGAACATCCCTGGCTGAAACTCCCCGAGAAAAAACAACTCCGCGCGCAACAAGGCCGGATGGTGTTGTTTTCTTCTGGCCTTCAGGCCAAGTGTCTAGTTCCCACGAGCTTCACCTTGGAGGTCAACATTGACCTTGGCGACGTGCAGGGGGACATCCAGTCGGGAGTCGTTCTGCTGCCGAGACCAGTATCGGCCAGCTGTATGGAAGGACCCTACCAGGGAACAAAACTGGTTGAAGTGGAATCCAGTAAGGAAACAAATCCTGAGAAAAACATAAATCGACTCAATCATTGACCCTCTTGCTAGGTTCAAAGTCTCCAAACAAGCTGTTTAGAGGACACCGGTTGGAAGGTGCTGGAGGGTGAACCACTGACGCCGGGGAGTCTTGGCCAAAGCGGCAGAAAGGCCCAGGTCCAGTGCTGGGTGTACCATCTGGGCAAGAAGGGCCCCCTCACAGTGGGGTTCAGCACCACGAAGGCCTCCGGCTTGGACCAACCAGCCCTTCAACAACTGAAGAAGGAAGAAATGCTACACGTGTTGAAGGACCAATAGACTCACAAGTGTGGTATAACATCTTTCCTGAAAACTGCCAGTGCCAGTTCCTAACAAAGTGTAACTAGATGTAACTATACAGATATGTGTTAACAAACCCGGTTAAAATAATTACGGAATGCTAAACTTTGGTGAACATGCCAAAACACTAGGCCCCAATGCTTAATCCTATATACATTGTGTGCACACTGCATCAACACTGAATTGCGGCTTTGAGACACTGCGTGTCTGGCGCGGGGACTCTTAAGACCTCTCAATGTATAACATGCAACTCATGGTTGAGTATACAACATTGATGGAATGATTCAATCCTGCAATCATTCAAACACATCATATAGAACTATATATATATATATCACAATCCTGGAATAATTCCACCAACTGCTAGTGCTTCTTGTCAAGTAAGCAGACCCCCTGCCTCATGGACTGAGTCAACCCGCCGCTGCAAACCAATACCCCAGGAACCTCACAGACCGCAGCTGGAATGTTGGCTGCTGGAGGGGTTCAACTGTGTTGAAGCGTCTTCCTCCGCAATCATGGAGGCTTTAGGCTTGGGCTTGTTCCATGATGTTCCATGAGCCCTGCTAAGAGGGCAAGCTTCGTTGCTGAGATGTACAGAAGGCGAGCAACTCAAGGGCAAGCATAGATTCCAAAGCAAATTCATCGTGTTGTGCATGTTAAACACCGCGTATGGTTTCTGCTTTTCTTTGCCCCTGTGCTGATTGGAGTTGCTCCCCACTCCCCTTCTCATCGCTTCTTGAGGTCGTGGAACATCCATATAACCCAGCAGAAATCGGTCATGGCATGATGCTGTTGATTGCCTCACTGACGTTGCGGGTAATCCCATCACAAACTATAGATCGGAGCTCAATGAGAAGGGAGCTTGTAATATCACGTGTGTTCAGTTCTGTATGCATATATATATATATATAACAATATTGAAACACTGCATATTATCACATTGTAGTTCAGCATACTCACGACAAAAGCTACTAGCACTTGCCCTCAACAGACTGCCCTTCTTAGCCTCAAAAAAGATCAGCAAAAAGAGTGACATTTCATGACAAACACATACAACCCCTAGGGATCCAAGTACCTTCTCAGAAGGTGATTGGAGGTACTGTAGGTTTTGAGGGTCCAGTCGTACCTTCTGAGGTTCGGTACGACTGGATCCCTAGGGAAACACCGGAAAAAGTACATACAAACACAAAAACAACGACACCTGCTATCGAAAAGAACCAATGTTCGACCACCTGCTGTTTCCACCCAACGTGCCACGACCCGACAACGACCCAGGAGCCAAAGTCGTAACACACATTCCGCTGCCGGATCACCTGGTGGAGGAGCCGGACTTCTTCAGGGCAGGACTTTTCTTCTTAATTAGTGGCTTAGTGACAGTGGCTCTGCATGAGGGTTTCGGACCAAACCAACGAAGAGAGGCAATTTTTGAGGACGCTCGGGAAGTTGGGCGGGGTGATTCTCTGGTTGCTTGTGTTCCCAACTCCGTTGATCTCTTGTTCAATCACCGTCGGTCTGTGCTGTGGCTTGGAGATGGAGATGTGGCTTGGAGCTCTGCCGCGCCACGCCTGTAAGTTTTTGAGTTCAGGAAAGTCGATGGTGCATTCCCCATTGACCACGATCACGTAGTCCACGGGCGCATTGGACCTGGAATCCGGGACAATGGCGATCTGCAAAAAGAAGATCATATTGTCTCCTTGGATCTGCGAGGGGGGTCGGGGAGGAAACACATGATCATCGATCAATCATGCAGTTCCCCTTTTGATTCCCTTTCAAGATCTAGTAACTAATTAGGAGATGTCCCATCCAAAAAAAACATAAAGACACATACCCTCCATTCAACACATTGGAATTCAGTAAACATGGCCCCTTGGAAGACTGTTTTCCTCTACGAACAGGCCATGTTCCACTTCCGTGATTGTTGGAGGGAGGGTAGCAGAAGCACAAACTCAAATGAAACCATGTCCTTGTGCATGTTCTTAGGTTGGAGGCATTCGCTATTAGGTTGGAGGCCATCGCTAGTAGGCTACAGCCATTTGCAACTCAGTCTCGGTATTCCGGCGTCTTCTCAAAGAATGCCACCACCACCAAGGTCCTTCCTGCGATTGGCCTACTCACTTCCTGCTTGGCCATACGCACGGACAAGTCGCGATAGAAATACGGCCAGTCCTTAGGCAGTTCCAACATGTTCCAACAGCCCAACTCGGAGGGATTTCTAGGCTTAATGTTGTCCATCAGGTCAAAGGGTGCATCATGTCGCCCGACCGGGTCGATGCCATGGAACGCTAGAGTGGGTTCTCTGCTCCGCATCGTTGGTAGACTGGAACCCACCTCTACTTCATCTGCCCCTCGAATCGACAGGAACAGCAGTAGTTAGACTACTGGCCACTCAAAAGAATCAGTAGTAGAGCATGACAAAATCCTCTTGAGCAATCTCAGGACTCTCTCACAGGCTCGGCCACGAAGAGAGTTTCATATGGATGTTGTTCCAGCGATGTCGCCTCACCTTTCTTTGACGACGTTGCTTCGCAAAAGGTCCAGTTCCACCGCCTGAAGCGCTGGAAGCTGCCCGGCCGGTCCAGCAGCTCCCAGGTGGAGAACTGCAGGAGTGAGGCGGGATCCTGAGCATAGGACAGGAATGACCGATCCATCGCCAAGGGAAATCGAATCTCTTCCCGTCCACGGGTGCAGTCGATGCTGTTGGCCACCAAGGAAACCTCCGGTAAACGCAGTCGACGGGTGTAAGCATCAGACCAGAATTGCAGGCCGGCACCAGCATAGAATTTGGGCAGGAAGGGCCCTTCCACCTGAAGGGTGGAGCACAGCATCGTGGCTGAGGCAGTTGGAAATGGCCCCTACGACCCGGTCGATCCGGCAGCCTTCCTGGTCGACCATTCTTTTGAACATTCTGGTCGACCTGGTGTTGGAGTCTACCATCCTTGTAGTAAAACTATGGTTGTTGGGCAAGAGCCATTATATAAAGCAATGGCAGTTGGAATCCCGAAGTCAACAAAGCCCGTTCGCCGTCCGTGTCCATCCACACCTGGCTACTCACCAGCACCACATGCTCCCCTCGCAGCTCACTGGGCGTAGGCCAACGGGCTGCCCTTCGCACCTCATGACTTCGCTGGTCACAGATCTGTGGAAGGCGATCGAGTAACGCACTCCTGGAGCCAGGACCAAGCAAAAACCTCAGAGGCACGGTTCGCCATACTTGCACATCCGGAGGAATTGACCATTCAAACGTGTTGCTTCTAGTATCTTCTAGTGTTGACCTATGTCCAAACCGTTGAAGTTTGACTAGTGCTCATGATTCACGCATGCTGGATGGTGCTGGAAAAACACATGGACTCCAGAGTCGTGGGATGGATTCCTGAGTCTTATTGGTCCAGACCTGGCCAGTCTCACTGAAGTCATCTCCAAAGAGCCAATGCTGATAGATCGATTTGTACGGCTGATTCTTTCGGCAAGTCGACTCCAAAAGCTGCAAATGCAGCTCCAAGCGTGCCGTGCAGCGTGCCGCTTCCCGGGGGCTGCGCTGGCCCTGAGCGAACAAGTAGATGATGCTGGTGCCAAGTCTGCCTGGATGACTCCCAGGATGTTCCAGGGTCGCCTCTTGGGAAAAAGCTGGAGAATTTTGGGTGGAACTCGCATTCAAAGATCTCTCCAGCGACTCCTGCGTGGAATGTTCCAGAGATTGGTGCTGGTCTCTGCCCACCGGAATAGACACGTCAGGGACATCATCGGAAGGCAGCCAAGATGGAAAGAATGACGTCCACATGTTGAACAAGACCTTAGATTGGTTGCTTGAACTCCACCAAAACAACATGGAAACACCTTGTTTTGTCTTGAGTTAAGCCGTTCACCGCTTGTGGCGAGGACTGTGCTGTGGGTTGGTGTTGAGAATCACCAAACCCCAATTGCAAACATACTACGTCAGGTAAGTGTGCGAAGACAAACTACTCAAATACGCACAAAGAGTTGCAACTGTTGTGTTCTAGTCATATTGACTTCGACGTTCTTCAACTCCTCGAGCACCTTGGGCAAAACTCAAGTGTCTATCTTCCACTGGTGAAAACAGTATGCCTGGATATGCCTGGGATATCTCCTGCAGGATGTCATGTGTCAACAAGGCTTAGTAGAGGCGGGAGGTTCTCCATGCAGTGACTTGTAGTCCAAGCAGCCAGGAGCATCAGCCAAAGGGCAAAACATTTGTAGCGACGGAACATGGCCATCTGCCATCGCTGCTTTCGGTCCCAATTGATCCCAGCTGGAAATCAGCTTCTTAGAGTCTAAAGGAGAGAGAAACAAGAGGTTCAAACAAGACTAGCACATGGTCCATGATTCCATGATCTCATGGATTATATGGATTATGATCTTTGTGGCAGGATGCTCCTGTAGACGCCTTGTTGATGCCAATCGCATGTCCAAAGTCAAAACATTGGCAGTTTCGGACTGCCAATGGATCCTTGGGTACCCTTTAGCTCCAGGGCTCCAGCGTAGCTTCTTTGTTACTAGTAGCGATGCCCTTGTTACTAGTAGCGAAGCACTTGTTACTAGTAGCATAGCACTTGTTGCTAGTACAGGTTCGTGCAGTTTGGATCCTTGGGTTCCGATGTTCCTTTATCTGCGGCTCCAGGTGGCCTCTTCAGCGACCGATGCTCGCGTCTTTTGGTGTCCGGTCATTCGTGGCTTCGCCTTGAGCTGCTTCCGATGCTGCTACCGTTCGGTCAAAATGGATAGGAGTCCTCCTTTTCGTCAGCTCTCTGTGAGCCCCAACGCTCTTGGGAGAAAATCGCACCACATGTGAGGGCATGGTCCTGAACCATGTGGAATCATACAGCACCCAAAGCAATGGGAACAATGTGTAAACTTTCTGATGTGCATACCTACCAAACGCAAGAAGTCAGCATTGGAAAGCACAAGCCCATGATCGCCCTGCAGATCCACTGCAGATCCAAATCATCCAAAGATCCAATACTGGTACATGAACATCAAACACGCCCAAGCTGTTGGTCAGTCCAGGAGCTTTGCAGCATCATGAACAAGGGTGCAGCCGCCCTAAGTCGAGGTCCTGAACATCCGCGTCTTCGCAACCAGCAAAGCGTCTGAACACCAAAGATCCCGGGTTCAAAGGGTCTGGACTGTCTGGATGAACCTTTGAGAAGGTCACTTAGACGATTTTAGGTGATACAAAGACCCCAAGATCTCACAGAAAAACCCAGTTGTGCCACATATGAAGAAAAGGCCTCCCATCTTCCATGATGCTTTTTGTTCAGCATTTCTACACGATCTGAGGCTGTGCCCGCATGTGCCCGCTAGTTTCCATCTTCAGGATGGTCAAATGCTACATCAAACCCTCAGCCACTCAAAGGCATTCTGGTGCATTGAAGTGCTCTTGGACAATCTGCCCCTTGCGCAGCACATGGCATTGGCAAGCCTCTCACACAGTCTGGCCAGTACCCTTTGACAAAGGGGGGGTCATGAATAAAGGGAATGCAATGCATGCTGATAGTTTGCATCATAAACGAACTGATAAGGGCTGGCGGGTCTATCACAAGCATACTCTTTCGACTCATTGACTCACGGGCTTATGAGGGCTTGCTCGCCATCATACGTTCATTGAACATAGGGCCTGGAGGTACAAACGACATCGGATTCTTCCGTCCTAATCCGTCCATGAAAGCGGCAGAGTCCTTCTCCGCGCCTTATTGGACGAGTCCTTCTCCTTCGTCTCACCTAGGAGTCCCAAGAACCCAACTAGAAAGAAAAGTCGATCTTCTCCAAATGCACTGGAGACCGTGTCTACCTTGTGGCCACTACAAACTACAAACTGCACAAGCACATGTAACATGTATACATACTTACATACCATTACCCAAAGAACCGTTGCAAGATGTTGCAACTACCACTGCTGGAAGGCCATGTGCCATACGCGCGCGCCCCCCCTCAGGGCTCCCCAACCTGTTGGTCTTTAAACAATACGTCAAACATCACATGGTTACGTGAGTGGTTACGTGGATGTCATGGACTACGTGGATGTCATGGACCCTTTCAAGATGACTTCTCTCCAAAATCTAGGGGGTGCCATCCACTTCCTACCACGTGATGTGTTGATGTGTTCGCTGGGCGAGACTCTCCGAGTCATCCTGTGTAAAGGGATAATGCTTCCAAGTTGGGATCTCTTTTTCCGCTTCCATCTTAGTTCCAGGGAGCGCATATTTTGAGTCGGAACGCTTGAACATCGGGATGCCGATACCTTTTGCTAATCATGAGCAGCTAGTGAGATTTGCCTCCCAACAACTTGAGTAACCTCCCAAATCATTGGATTTCCACGGTGTCTAACTTCCTCCATCTAGGGCCCAATAGGGCGCCCGCCCCTGCGCGAGCGACGTTCCGTCGAATCGTCGCCGCAATCTTCTCGAGTGAACTTCTGGTCGCCGATGTCCCGCAGGGGCCGGTCCCAATTCCAAAGGCATTTGGGCAAGGGCTCCTCTCCACGCGCCTGTGGTGTGAGGCTCACCATCTCAATGACCTCCTGCACTCGAACGAAGAAAAAAACGAACCCAGGAAAAAGTTGCTACATGTATTTCGGGTGCGCCATCCCCTGCCCAACAGTTTATGCCAACAGGACTGTCCTATGCACTCGTGTCACCCCCCTCTCCATCCCCAAAACCATCTAAAGCAAGTGAACGACATGGCGGCTGGTCTCGCGCGCGGCGGTTTCGACTCTTCCACCGCGCGGCGCTAGTGAAGTCTGGCATGGTTTGCATGTATCCCATCAAGCGCTGCAAGATCTCAGGTGTGCCAATCCGACTCTTAAAGTCAGGATTCAACATGCCTCAGTCCGGCAGCCAGGCGCAAGGCGGTGTGGCTTGAAGAAAACAATGCAGACTCCTTTAATGTAGACTCTTGATGAGTAAGACCTCCCAATTGAATGGACAAACCTCTTCATATGGGGGCTTTATGTATCAAGAGTCTACATTACAGGTTGCGTTTTTTGTGCCTGTTCGTTTTGATTTGTGCCCGTTCCCAAAACGATTTAAGAGTGTTATATAATAAAGGTTATCCACTGAGTGGATAGGCCCATGACTATGCCACTCCTCCTATGCCATGCTGACTAAGGTACCAATGACCAAACGGTCCAGCTCAGTTTGTTCCGGACCCCCTTGTGGCAGGACCTCGTCCTTGGCAGGATCATACTGCATGGTCAAATCGCCATGAGGATCACTGAAGAAAGGAGGCTGCTTGCCATAGACCAGCCTAACTTGCGATCGTGGGGGCCAAAGAATCGATCATCAACAGCGGCACACCCAAAAGCAGCCAAGTTCATGAGAAGTATAGATCCGCCCAAAAACTCCCTCAGGAACCCCCTGTGTCCTTCAGAGGGGTTTAGATGGGTAGATCGACGTAGGCTTTTCTTCCATGGTCAGTCCTCTGGAGACGGGGGAAGAACCGCCCAAGTGGCGCGAAGCTCGGGGGATACACAAGTTCTGGTTGACGAATGCGCAGCCCCAAAGAACTCACTCTCTTGGCTGACTAGACTTGGGCACTTTGACCACTGTGTCCATTATCCATGGATTTGCAGCATTGAATCCGCCGGCCCTGGGGCACGGCGTGTTTTGGGTAGTTGATTTTTTGTTAGTTCTTTGTTAAGCTATGCCTTGTCTGTTTTAGTGCTCCCCCGGGCCCCCTCC